TCCTGGAGACCCAGGATCGAATCCCACGTCGGGCTCCCGGTGCATGGAGCCTGCTTCTCCCTCTGTCTGTGTCTCGTCTCTCTGCCTCTCTCTCTCTCTCTCTCTGTGACTATCATAAATAAATAAAAATTAAAAAAAAACCATCTATGATGTTTGAGCCAAGAGATAGTTATTGATATATTAAAGAGTGGTAGGCCACCCAATAATGTGTTGTTTTCTGGTTTTTTTTTTTGGGGGGGGGGTTTTCTTGCCTAACCTCCTGCAAAGTAAAACTGCCTCCAAGTCTGATACTGGACCCTTTGGGGACTTACTCTAGTGACTGTGGGCCTTAAAATTTTACTTCCAGATGCCTGCTACTCCCATCCTTGTCTACTGTGTTACTATTGCAACGAAAAAGCCACCATATAATGCAAGAACCATTATTGCCAACCGGTCTAAGGAGGGAGGACAGGAATGGGGTGCCTGCTTCAGACATCCAGGGGAATCAAACAGAGTGTTGGCACTTCCTTGTGAGAGATGCAGTGACTGTCCTGTACTTTGTAAGTGAGCAGACATTAGTTGGAAGATGAGCCTCTGCGAATGCACTGCTGGAGGAGCAGCAGCACAGGGGCATTCTCAGGGGTCCCCACAATAAGGTGGCCAAGATGACAAAACAGAATCTGAGAGCTCAAGCAGAGCAGCATGGGCACAGGAGCTATGCTCCTGGAGCAATTTAAATGATGAGGTGATAGGCTCTAAATGCAGAGGAAACTCCTAGGGCGGGCAATCAATCACTGCCAGGCTTATCTTTTGACAAGGGGTAGGACTCCAGCTTGCAGCTGTAACATTAAAATGTAATGTTCCCACTGGGATTTGGTGTGGCAGGTTTCCCTGAAGCTTCGGTTTCACTCAGTTAACTAATTATGAGAGAATGTGACATTGGTATTTGCTTTTTCTACAGGGACAAATCATTCCCAGCAGGAGAGACAGGTTGTTATTTTTGTTCTGTTTTGTTTTGTCATTAAAAAGAGATTACTTACACGGTAGTAAATAAACTCTTGTTAGAGGGAATTTTTTTTCTTTATAATTCTATTCACCTTAATTCTGACAATCATTTCTTTTGTTTTCCGGAGATGTGGTACATGAATGAGCAAGAGTTGGGTGTTAGAACTGGGTTTGAGGGCAGCCCCGATGGCACAGCGGTTTAGCACCGCCTGCAGCCCAGGGCCTGATCCTGGAGACCAGGGATCGAGTCCCACGTCGGGCTCCCTGCATGGAGCCTGCTTCTCCCTCTGCCTGTGTCTCTGCCTCTCTCTCTCTAGCTGTGTCTCTATGAATAAATAAATAAAATCTTAAAAAAAAAAAAAAGAACTGGGTTTGAAAATTAACTCTAGCTTTGTGATCCTAAGCAAGTTATTTAAGTATCATGAACCTTTTGCCTCCCACTAAAAAATAGATGGCAAAATGTCTACTGTGTACTATTTGTTAAAGATGAGATGAAGTAATATAGTTGAAGTATTTTTAGCACAGTGTGTCTGCATCAAAAGTGCTCAAAAATGTTAGCCTTTATTCTTAATGACTCTGATACTATATATACCAATAGGAACATTTTATATTTCACTTATGCCTTATATGGTCAGTTTCCTATATGATGCCACATGTAATCATGAACTGTATTTTTACTTCGCCACTATAAGCTGCATTGTGCATTAACCATTTTACTCTTCCTTACCCAGATGTTCAAAGGTTTCCAATGAAAACATAATATTTATTTTTTTAAAAAAATTTTAAAGATTTTATTTATTTATTCATTCATGAAAGACACACAGAGAGAGGCAGAGACACAGGCAGAGGGAGAAGCAGGCTCCATGCCAGCAGCCTGACATGGGACTCGATCCTAGGTCTCCAGGATCTCGCCCTGGGCCAAAGGCAGGCGCTAAACCACTGAGCCACCCAGGGACCTGAAAACACAATATTTAATGATAACATTGAAGGAAACTGTTTTCTATCTCTCCTTCTCCCCCAGGACACCTTTTAACTTTTCAAAGACAGTGTCCAATGCTGAGCAAACATCACAAATAAACTCACACTTCCTCATCCACTGCCTGGACACGATAATAGCATTGTGTTTGGGGTGCTTTTAGCAAACTGGAAAATGATTTCACAGATGATCTCCCCTTGAACTCATAATCCCATGAGGTAGGCATGGTAGATATGATGATCTCCACTTTACAGATAAGGAGGCGGGAGGTAAGAAAGGGTAAATGACAGAGCCATAATGTTCAAGCCTATTTTCTATGAAAAGTAATCTGTGGGAACTGAGAATGCTGGGCATATTGGACTTTTGAAAATTAGATTTTCTCAAGAACAAAGTCTGTTTTGAAGTTAGCCAGAGCAACCGTTATTAGAGAGAAAAGTAAGATCACTGGTAGTAAGTTAACAAAATAGAAAGTCAAGAAGCATGGGGCGTTATATTCCAATGTCACAATCCATTTGCCCAATGAACCTCAATTTTTCTATCGTTAAGTTTGAGAAAAGAAAACTGTTACTTCTTACCATTTTTAAAAGCACACATATTGCAATATCATTATCATGTATAAATGTAAGCTTGATAGAATATTCAGGAGATTTAATGTGAACCACAGAAAATATGAGAACCTAAAAATGTATAAGCAGGAGGAAACATATTTTAAGTTCTAGTAGAAAATCTTGGTGATAAAAGAAAAGGTTAAGAATATTTTCCTTTTCCATGGGTTAAGAATACTTTTCCCAAGTATACATGGGCTAGAAGATGATGGAAAATTAATAAGATTAGATAAATCAGCACTGTAATTTCACCTTATATATTCAACAGGTTTTTGGAAGTTGTAGAATCGACGAAGAATCATGGACATGTAATAACTTTTGAAGCCATGAAAATATAAAAGCCCTCAAATTTGGATAATATTTCCTTAACTAATCACATATACTAGTTCTTAAAATAATTAATTCTGAAGTGCTATTCATACTGAGCAAGTCTTTCTGGTGATAGTAATTTTTCAAGGATTTCCAAGAATGCCATCACTTGCTCACTGATAGCTCATAACCCCTTAAGAATTCCTAGCGAACTACAGAATATCAATTCAGAAGTCCCCTACACACTTCTTTGTTAGGAATAGGGGATAAGTCTAATAGATTGGAAGGCCAAAGCAAACAAAAGTCATTTAGGAGAACCCTAGATCGAAATAAAAATGAAACACGTTTTGAGTCAATGGAAATTAGAAGCCCAAGGATCTCTAAACACACAATAAAAAATCTAGTCAGACCAACAATGATGAGCAAAATAGCATACCGTAATAGGTCATCATTAGGTGGTTGGTTACCCAATTCTGACTTAATAGGTTTAAACATGATTTGCCTATGATCCTCAGGGATGTGATACATCTTCATTTCAATATTACGAGAGATCTTATGATATGGCACGATATCCAAAAACTCCCTCTCTTTGTCCTTAATTCATTCACTTAATAAACATTTGGTGAATGTTTACTGTTTGTTAGGATCTATATCAAAGAACTCACAGCCCAGCATGGGAGACAAGCAAATCAGGCATCAAATTTACTATTAAATTCTAGAAGAAAAATTTTTCATGCAAATGGTAAGTGGATCAGAGAGCTCTCAGGGAGGATGAAATGATTGACAAGGTCTCAAATGGTAAATGTAAACCATGTATATCACAAAAAGGAGTAGTTCTGTCACAAAGAACAGCATGGATAAAAGCAAGACACAGGAAACATGGTGAGTTTCAGAAATTAGTTGCAATATACTGCATGGCTTGCGCATTCAGAAGGGGGAAAAGGTGCCATAAGAACCAATAATCAGTAGCAATAAACAAAGATTCCATCAGTTAGGATTTCCATTCCACATTAAAATACAATAGTGGAAACCTGATCTTTTGATAAGATTTCAACCCTTAGGCAATGGGTGCAGATTTTTGCCACAGAACAGACAATGTAGTGCTATCCAAGTATACAGAAAACTAGAGGATAGAAAGCTAGGGTATGGATAGCAGTTTTAAGACAACTTTAAAAGTCCAAATAAGACATGGAGAAGCCCTAAGCAACAGCATTGGGGATGGAAAAGAGAATAGAGATAAAAGAAATACAAAAACCAGAGTTAATAAAATTTAATGACTGAATAGAATAAAGGGATGAAGAGGGAAGCTTATAGCAGCTTTCATGCGTTGTATTTAGCTGGCTGAATGCAAAATGGTGCCCTTCACTAATTAGGGATGGGGCATGACGAGGAAAGCCAGTATTACTCAGAGTCCTACTATCTTCCCACCACTTCCTTCACCACTAGACTCATAAAGCTCCTGGAGGGGGAAAATTATGTCACGTACCACATGTGTTTGCACATAGTTCCTAATATTGTATAACATGATTACGTAGTATAATAGACCCATTGTAGACACTTAAAGTGTACATTTTTTGAATGACTGACTGAATAAACGAACTCTAAAAGTTGGATGTGACAAAACTATATATTTTATCCTTTGAATAAAATAACTGTGTCTTAAATGTGAATAACTCACCTTAGCTGGGTAACAGTTAATACCTCTATGGATTAGGTTCATTTCAGACTTCTAGTACTTTTAGCAAATTCCAACATCCAATCTTGAAGAAACTTTTGGGAATGTCTACTACAAACTCTCATTTTAAAGATGAAAATCTGTGATCCAGAGAAGTTACACAGCTAGCCCCAAGTCACAGAAAGTATCCAGTGATCACAAATCAGGCAGATACATTAAGCTTCGTAATATTTGTCAACCAAATTGGTTATAATAGATTGGAAGACAAGACATCACATTTAGCTAGGATGCATTGAATTTTTAAAAGTGCATGACACTCCACATGAAAAAAAAAAACTAGACCAATGTCTTAGAAACATTTCCTTAAATAATTCTTTCTTCTAACAATGAAATGTAAGGAACGGAGCTCAACTTTTAATCTTGAATTAGTATAAGTAAGACAGATTCTTACCGTGATCTTCTGAAGAGACTGGTGACCTAAAACGAGATAATAAGCATGATAAATGTTTTGTAAATAATACTGATAATTACAAATGCAATAATGATCAAGAATAATCTCCTAGGAATATTACCCCCAAAATTTAATTAAATACAAAGTCAATATAGTAGACAGTGTAATTAATTTGTTGGTCGCATGGTATTTTCTAATTGATCACTCCCAAAGATTACCTTGATTGGTTGGGGTTAATAAAATTCCAGTCCACTGCACAGTGTCATGGGACTGCAATGAACTTAAGTCTGGATTTATCACACACAAATAGAAAAGTCATAGAAATGTGATAATGGATGGAATGCTGTGATGTCACCAAAGGCCAAGCCTTCAGAGAAAATACCAGGGATATAAATAAGCACTAGACTGATTGTGTGCAAGTAAAAAGAAATCTACTTGGACAGTAAAAAATGAGGCAGAAGTAAAACAAATGATACTTACCCTTATCATTATTGTTTTTTGTTTTCACTATTCGTGGAATTTAAGGTTTAAGTGAGCATGACATAGAACCTCTTTGTACTGACCTCATAGTTCTAAACCTTTAAGAACCAGGATGAGGCAAGAGGGTGATCATTGGGGTCCCACAGAACTTTTATATATGGATGACTCTGCAGCTCCAATTATGTTAGGAAGACACTGATGAAGCATCTTATCGACCCTTTCTCAATAAAAACCTTTCTTTCTTCCTCAGCTGGCCACTGATTGAGTTACTCCAAGCAATACAGATTCATCCTTGAGGATGAATTTCCCTCAAGCTTGAAAGATACAGTTTAAAAAAAAAAAAAAAAGAAAGAAAAAGAAAGATACAGTCTTGACTCTACCATATTATTCTTTCCTTGGGATAAAGGGAGGTGTATAATTCTGTTCTAACAGGTGATAGAATTTTGCAGGGAAAGGCAAGAAACCAGGCAGGAGGCATCCTCTCTTCTACATGATCAGCCTGCTGAGGTCCACAGCAGGAAGATGACCAAAGAGAAATGCAAAAGTTTAGTAACATACCCATTTGCATAACTCGTGCCGGGGCAAGAATGATTCCATGGAGGCACAGTGGTTAAAGGAAGATTTTAGCTACTTTGGGATGCTTGAGAATGCTTTACTTTATTTACTGCTCAGTAATATTTTTGTTCATTATGTAAGTGATGAGTAAGGTGTAAGGACACAGCAGTAGTGGTGGGAAAGATAGTGGCAAAGTGTCAAATCATTTCAACCTTACAAGTTTCTTCAAGTGAACTTTTGCATGTGAAAACAACAGAGGGTCCCAAGCTTTGGTAGGGAGAAAACTGGCATCAGGGTGATGGACACAGGGAGCACCGAGAGGGAACCTGCCATGAGCTAAGTCATCTCCACAGAGTCCACTGCTTGAGAAATACCACTTGGCCTTCCCAGGTGAAGCCAATCTGTGTTCTCCTTGGGATTTCCCTCTTTCACGCTATCACACACCAGTCTTCCCCACTGAGTTGTGAACAAATAGAAAACTAGGACTATTTCCTACATGGTACAGAATGGGCCCCTGATTAAAATTTGTTGAGCTGAATAATTAATGTCAGCACCACCACAGTGGTGCTTAGGCTCAAACATATTCTGGAGGGCCTCAAAAAAATCATGTCACCTTCAAACCTTCTGCAAACCAGGTTTGCCAGGTCCTAGGACAACCATGACAGAAGGGCTTAGTGAGTGAGACAAGTTCCAGAATAAGGATAATGGGAGCACTCTCAGAATCAAAAGACATCCAATACACCCAGCAACAGAGACCCACTATCTGCCTTAGTGGTTAGGAAAAAGAAAGGGGGAGACAGTGCTGAATCGAGGTAAATAGGATTGAAAGGTGAGTCTAATGAGAAATATGTATTTAAAATAAGATAATTTCTTAAGATGCTTAGGGCATAAAAAGAAGTCAGCAACAAGGTAACATCTTTAGCCCTCGTGTATTCTGATGGGAATTAAGCAATAAGACTTGTTGGACTGTTGGCAATTAACTTCTACAGGAACAAAGAAAAATCCATGCCAATAGACGACTAAATGTCTCAGGTAGAAGGCTTGTAAAGCAGGGCTTTTGGTGCCTTTCTGTGAAAGCAAAGAACTAATATTAAATCTGAAAAATTCCAGATGGCTTCGTTCAAGTCCCAAGGGGATGCAATCGTCCAGGCAGTGGGAAGAACTATCAATTTCAGAGTGTTTTCTGAAGATTAGTCATGTTGAGTTTCTGTGCTGAATGTCTCCCACACGCCTGGATTTGTGGAATTTTAAGACATATGGAGTATTTCAATCCTCACTCAGTATTTCACCTTTCACTCTAACGAGTCACTAAATTATACTACTGAGACATGCACATCATCCATTATTGCTGGAAATGGGCATAAAAAGTTTTACAGAACTTAGCTCAGGAGAGAGGAAAATTCATGCGATCAGCAATAGAAGTAGTTATTTTTAAAACAGAGTGGTTGAACCCCAGGAACAGATAATCTTCTTCAACCTGACAACTGAGGAATGTAGGAAAGTTCACTCTTATTCCTCCCACTGCACCTGCAAGACTTGTGGTTCTGTTCCAGACTGTTTATTTCTCCTCCACGTACACTTTATCTTGGGGATAGCATCGCTCTCATAGTGCAAACTATGACTATCATTCAAATAACTCCAGGATTTAGAGTTCTTACCTCTTTCCTCAGTACTAGTCTTTTATGACAGTCTGTAGAATATTTATACTTGATTTTACTTAGTTTCATTTGTTTTGTGGTTCTTAAAAAACATTTTTATTTGCATTTCATTCAAATTCAGCAAAGTGAAAAAGCAGAAACAAAAACTCATGTCCTTAGATTTCAAAATCTCTCTCCTATTTTAAATCTATTTATGTTGATTCAAACCTACATAATAATTATTTGAGACCCTATTAGGTACCAGGTCCTACACCTTGTGATGAGAATACAGAGATGAACAAGACACCGACTTTAAGGACCTCAGTCTAGTGAAGGAGAAAAATAGGTAAATAAAGGATTATACTGAAAAAAGTATAATCATCAAAACATGTGTGAAGTAAAGAGGGAACAGGAGATAGAGAGACCCATTCTATTCCAGAAGAGTGAAAGAAGACTTCAGAAAGCAAGAACCATGTGAGCTGGGCTTGGAAGGAAATGCAGAAACTTGTTAGGTAAATAAGAAAGGAAAAGAATCTCAGGCAGAAGGACCAGGTGTATGACAAGGAATCTGGGTAGGAAGTTTTGTAATACGTTATCAAGCAGATGAGTAACTCAGTGTTGCTAAAATGTAAAGGAGTAATAAGTTAGGCCTGGAGACAGAAGAGGCAGGAGCCATTTCATATATGGCCTGACAGGCCATTTCGAAGCACTGGTAATTTACCTCCTAAGCTAAATGAAGTGAGTTTCCGAAGCAGCGAGGTCATACATTCTCATTGGTGCTTCTCATCAGGCAGGCTGTGCAGAGTGGAATAAAAAAAAAAAAAAAGGCAAGAATAAAGGTGGAAGATGAGTTAGAAACTATTACTGCAAAGCTTCTGCTCTTCTCTTTGAAATTCATGAAAAGCAACAGGGAGGGGGGCGCCTGGTGGCTCAGAGGTTGAGGGTCTATCTTTGGTGCAGGGTGTGATCCTGGGGTCCTGGGATTGAGTCCTACACCGGGCTCCCTGCATGGAACCTGCCTCTCTCTGCCTCTCTCTCTCTCTCTCTCTCTCTCAAATCAATCAATCAATCATCTTTTTTTTTTTTAAGGCAACAGGGAGAATAAGAAAACAGAAAAGGAAGCATCGTCTTTGACTAAGCCAGAAGATGCTCATAAACCAAAATCATCTTTAAAAAAGAGCTACCAAGTAGGGGGAAAACTCGACCACGTTTCAGAAAGACAAGGAGAGCATATTTTGATCTCAGTCAACTCAAAAGATATGAGCTACACTGTGCACCACAAAATCTGGCAGAAAGCCCTCTGCTCTGAGCCAGGTGTCCTGTTAGTCAGAAGTAGAATCAAATGCCAGAGGATAGCGCTGCTAAAAAGAAATTGAAAACAGACCCAAAGTCAAGCTTCCAGAAACACACCAACCCACTATCCCTAATTATCCGTTCCAAACTAACAGTTCCAAAAAGAACTCCTCCAAAACAAATATGAGTAATGAAGAAAAGACAGCATGATATCCACACGAAAATACTCCAAGAAGAAAGCAGGATAAGGATCTGCTGACAAACAAAACTTAAGGTGGGAGTACACTAAAAAGATGATGGCAGGGGGTAGGTAAAACTATTAACAGATCTCCGTAAAATTTTAAAATGGAAAAAGGGAAGGAGGGAAAGGAGGAAGGAGTAACGGATGGAATAGAGCCTCTGTGAACAGAAACATAAGGAAGAAATATAATGATTATGAAATAATCCTAACACTCTAGCAGAAGAAAAGAGCAAAAGTTGGTCCAGAATATTTGAACAGGTAAATTATAGAAAAAGCTTAAGGGCTCTTTCCACTGTGTCACCAGTGCACTAGGAAAAGGATATTAAGAGGAGGTAAGAGATGAATAATAACTACAAATGTATTAAGATATAAGCCATTCATTTATTCCTCTATTCAACTAACTGCTTTGTGGAAATGTCTTGCTGTTTTTCCACTTTGATTTACTTTTCTGTGAAAATTTTTTTTTTTTGCTTTTTAAGTTTTTTCAGAAACTCCAGTTAGTTAACATACAGCATCATGTGAATTTCAAGTATACAGATATAGTGACTCAACAATTCCATATATCACCCTGTGCTTATCATGACAAGTGCACCCACTGATCCCCATCACCTCTTTTCCCCATCAACCCACTCACCACCCCTCCTGTATCCATCAGTTTGTTCTCTGCAGTTAATGTCTGTTTCTTGATTCTCGCCCCCTTTTATTCTCCCTTTGCTCATTTGCCTTGTTTCTTAAATTCCACACAAGTGAAATTATATGATATTTGTCTTTCTCTGACTGGCTTATTTCACTTAACATAAAACTCTCAGCTCCATCCATG